TTTTTTTACACCTCAATATCTCTGTGGCTTATTACTAAGGAATAGTAATAAACCAATAAATATTTATAAATAATAAATAAAATAAATGTATATGTGCATTATAGTCTCTATTCATCTTTGTCCATCTTTTGTGCTATAGGATACTGAGGAAATAGTCATTTTTAAAGATGTGTCCGGGGGGGCGGAAAAAGGGATGAAACCTTAAATAAAAACTGACTCTTCTGACCCTCAGACTACTGCAAGTGGTCCAAGCTCTGCAGCTAAAGAAACCTGTCTAATTGGGTAGAGAGGAGTTTCTCGTGTGCTTATTCTTGTGACCCAAGAGGAATTTTGATCCAAAGGGTTCTAATTAAGGGACCAAATCAGCAAGTGCATGGTCTGAATTACCCTTGGAAAGAAATAACCTTTATTTTGTCCAGCCTTGTCTTACTGACTAGAAATTTGGTGTTCTGGATAGCTGTAAAACAAACATCATCAGCTCACAGGAGTGTTACCTGTTTCTTCCAGGAACTTTTACATCTTAAGGTTCCCACCCAGAATTCTTCTAGATCCCTTCTTTTAAATTGAATGCCATTGTTTCTTCTCATATGCTGAAAAGAAACATCTTGGTCCTCTAGTCTCCACCAGCCTTGATAGTAAAAGAGGACATAGAGTATCTATTCTATGCCCTTTGTGCACACCAGGTTAAAAGAAACGGGGGAAAGAAAATCTTAGAAAACCCAGAGTGAGCCAGAGAAAAGTCTTTCTATGGGTAGAAAGAGACATAATGTTAATATTCATATTCCTGCAGCAGGAGCAGTACTCACGTTACATTTGTTTGCCATGTAATACCAGCACTTGCAATGCCTCTCCACCTAAAAAGGCAAGACTTACATATCCTTTCCCAAAATATATACTTCCCCATGGGTCTCTCCAGATCTGGAGAGTGACCTTTGAGAGCAAGGGGTTCCATTTTAACTTTGAAAATCTGTGCAGAATCAGTATGGCCACCTGCTCATCTCCTGATGATGTTTGTGGCCAATTCTGTGGCCATGTGTTAGGATGGGTAGGTTTGGCCTCTAATCTGGGCATTTCTGTGCTCAACCTGCTGAGGTAAAGTGGGTTGGTTTCTTTCATTCAGAAGTGAAAACTGATCCTGGGTTTCCAGGCTTGTGAGTAATTATGAAGTCAAGGAGTTCTGTTACACTAGGAGTACCAAATGTTTGGAGATTTGGAGGGAAGGCAAGAAATTAAGATAATTCTCTCTTCTTTCAAGTTTCTGAAGAAGACCACAGCAAGCGAAGCAGCTTTGTCTGTGTATTACTAAGCCACGGTGACGAAGGGCTCATCTATGGTACAGATGGTCCTCTTGAACTGAAAGCACTAACCACCCTTTTCAGAGGTGACAAATGCAAGAGTTTGGCAGGAAAACCCAAACTTTTCTTCATTCAGGTGATGTACAACTGAACAGTGATATTGACAATCTAAATAATTCAAAAAAATGTGTGTTTCCTACTAATTATCAATCCAAAACCAATAAGTATTTTTAACTGATTCAAACTGCATTAGTTTCAGAGTAAGGTTATCTTCAGCATTGTAAGTGGCAGTCTGGTTTATTTTGGCAGTATTTGTAAAAATTCAGGTTACTTAATCTATAGAATTAAGGTACTGTCAAATCTTTCCAAACACTAACCAATATTTTAATGAGTTTCTGGATGTACCTTTGAGTTAACTACTTTAATCAAAGGGGGTAATTCATTTAAATGAACACTAGTTGCTTCTCAAACTAATGAAAACGTATGTATGAATTCTTACTATTTTTGAAGGTTTTAATTGAAGTCAATTTTAAAATTGAAATAATCAGTGTATGGATGGCTACTGCTGCCTTAATTTCTCACTTCTATTTTATTCTCCCTTCTCACCAAATAGGCTTGCAGAGGGACAGAATTAGATTCAGGTATTGAGACGGACAGTGGACCAGATGAACCAATGTGTCAAAAAATACCTGTGGAAGCAGACTTCCTATATGCTTATTCTACTGCTCCAGGTGAGAGACTTGCAAAGAAAATGTTTATTGCTGAAAGTATTCATATAGTCAGCTGATACTGGTATTGCAAATGACAAATTAACAGTTGTCTCTGAGCACCCTTTAGTGCAAGATTACTTCATTTGTTATTGTTCAGGGAAATAAGAATTTTCATTCCTCCATCTTTATTCCTGGTTTGATTTCCTTTTGAGGTAGGTGCTATTCTTATTTCCTACTAAAAATTTATGTAATATAGAAGGTATATCTTCCTAGTGAGGAAGGGTTTGTGTGTGTATGTAAATAGGTATGTATGCATGCTATCACCTCTCATTATACTATAGTGAAATTTTCTTTAATTCTTCAGCTACTTAGTTTTCTTGGATTAGGAGGGATGTGAGGATTAGAGAAGTCTTTTTTCTTAGAATTTGAAGAAATCATCAAATCTAGACTTCTAGTTAGCGGTTTCTGGATATGTTTTTAAAAAGCGGAGAAAACCCCCTTTCATTACTATTGGAAACAATATAGTGTTTCTCTAATCCTTGTCTTGTGTCAAAGGATGCTGCTTTCTGACTGATTTAATGCATCTCTCCTCCATAGGCTATTACTCCTGGAGAAACTCAGCCGAAGGCTCCTGGTTTATTCAGTCACTGTGTAGGATGCTGAGGGAACATGCAAGGAAACTTGAACTCATGCAGATTCTAACGCGAGTAAATCGCAGAGTGGCAGAATATGAATCCTGCTCAAACCGGCAAGATTTCAATGCAAAGAAGCAGATTCCGTGCATTGTTTCGATGCTCACCAAAGAGTTTTATTTCCCTTGCTAAAAAAAACCCTGCACCTTGTGATTTTTTTTATGATTTTTTTAATCTAATTTATATACAATGTTAGTACAGAATACCACTTTTGAAATTACTGTTCACTACTGTGTGTAGCATAGAGGAGCTATCAGTTTCATGTGTCTTATTAGGAGTATAGCTCGTTGTATCAGAAATTGAAAATTAAATAGCTAAAGCACTGGCAAATTTGTAAGCAGAGCAATTTTCACAGAGAAATTGAGAAGACTGAAGAAAGATAACATATCGCTTCTGATTTGGTGCTACATTTCCCTTTACTGAAAGGGCTGAGGAAAGATATAAAACCAAACTGTTTACAAAAAATTCTTTATAGTAGGGAAGAAGATCAAGGAATATGCTATGTACTTACTAATGATGATATGTTAGTAGTGTCTTTGCACATTTCTTAAACTTGTGGTTTTTAAAGATTAGGTTGTAGATTAACTTAAGCTTTTTTAAAATTCTGTCATTTTCCACTGTTTATAACCTATTTCATTTTTTACACACATTAGGGAGAATACTTAAAGACAACTTTTTCCTGATTATTTTGCAATTTTTATGGTATATCGGGTAAAACAATTTTATCAACATCAATACAGTATCTATGTTTAAAAAAAAAAAATATTGAGGGACCAGTCTTCCAAACTGTTTGTCTTCTCCCTTCCTCCCCTACCCTGTGTCACACACACCCCAAAAAAAGGCAGTGCAAAAAACTGCACTCTGAATAATCTGGCTTCCTTGTTTGGATTGCAAATTAGAAGCCTTTTAGGATCTGTTTTTTTAGGTACATACTTAACCTAGGCCTGTGTGAAAGCTTAAATCTGTGGCATTGAAGAAATTTAATTTTCTTTGTTAAATACCAAATACGATTACTCATGTCTTATGAGAATTTACTAAAAGGGTATTAAACAGTAAATTGAACTTTTTAATATCATTTCTGAGCTTTCTGTCATGCTTTATTTGGGACTAATATTAAAGATGTGAAATAGGTTTTTACAGAATTGTAAAGCACTGATTTGTTTCAGCTTGTAACAGTCTTGGTGAAGAGGAAAAGACAAGTCAGTGGTAAGTGACTACATAGGGTCCTTGCAAACAAGACTTAACTCTTGAAATTTTGTAGTATAAATAAGGTAAGCAAAGTGATGCGCACTTCTAGAAGCTTGTGGATTTTTAATATAGTTAAATTGTGTTAACTAGCTTATTTAAATGTGTTTCTATATTAATGTTAACTTTTTGCAAACTTTTATTTTCTCAAAACACTACTTCCATCTCTTGTATATACTAAAGAAGCCTCTCCAAATGTATTTTATACCGTAGTCAGGTAATAAGAGTAGAAAATAAGATATGTCAAATGCAGATTCAAAATTTATGCAAAGGAGGCAATTTTGAATGTCTTGGATGAGTACTGTGACTGCTGGATAAGAGGAGCTTCATCACCCACTCTTCTCAGAAGTGTGATACAGACCTACTCTAAGTGATAGAATTATAATCCACATTTCTACCGAAAAACCAAGTAGATTCCTGGTAAACATACCTAAAAATAACCCTTTAAAAAGCCCATATGTAGGTTTGCTCATGTAGGTTGTGGCTCAAAACAAACAACTAGATGGTTATGTTGTAGAAAACTGATAGTGTTCCTTTAATCTACTTCAAAGTAAATGGGAATATGAATGTTTCTTGTTTGTTCTACTTCTGAAAAAGTTCTGTCACTGGGTATGATTTTTACCTTAGATCTAGAAGGCTTGGATTGTGATTTTTTTCTGCTTTTCAGTCACTTTTGCAAGAATTGCTTTTTCCTAGAGCACTGGCCTCTGATGTTTGAATACTTTCCTTCCTTCCCTTTAAAAAGGACGGATTTGAGTCAAGATTGTATCCAACTTTACTTGGCAGTTTTGTGCTCATACCCTGTAAGAGTTGGTAAATAGTAAATTGAATTCTAGCACCTTCATCTGACTCTGTTATGATTCATGAGAATAGAGCTTTCAGATTGCTGTTGGTTTGTCTGACACCCTCAAAAAAGCCTCAAAAAGCACTGTGAATATTGTACCCCAAATAATGTGGGATCACTTCATTATAAGAGATACTTAATTTATAGGACATTCCAGCAGAATTTGTAAGACAAATGCTCAGCCCCCACATAATAATCCATAGTAGTGGCAATAAGAATTTAGTGTCCAAAAGCACATAAACCTTGCATCCTTAGGCCTGCTACATTTAATAAACAATAACAAGTACTACTTATGAAGCAGTAAAAAACTTAGTGCTTAGACCTGCTTTCTGTTTTCTTTTCAAAGTGCATTATTCAGTCATAGGTTCTGTCCCAATTAAAGCAGCACTGTTTCAATGGTAGAGAAATTTGAGCCAGAGAAGCCTTGCTACTGCAGAGGTATTTCAGCCACAGTAATACTACTGTTCTGAAATAGCTCTTTTGTCTGGAAGAGCCAAAAATAGTAATAGAGGCCTTGGAAAGATGTGAATAAAAATACACTGCATGGAAAACTCCTTGGTTTGTGAGGACCAAGAAGTGAAAGCGATGGTATGCAGGAACACTGCCAGGTTATCAGCACTGTAGGTCTGCATGGGATAAATCACAGAAAGTGGGTGTACTAGCAGGGTCATGAGCTTTCTGGTGAGTCTGAGAGGCTGATGAGCACAGCTCTGATTACCAGGCTAGAAGTTAGTTTTGTGTCCAGACTAATTTTCAGTTATGTATTCTGTCCTGTTAAATGGAGTCAAGGGAATGGTCATAGCAAAACTCCTTTAAGAGACATCAGGGTCAGAAAAACTACTGCTTCATCACCACGGGGTGTCACTGTAGACAGGAAAATCTTCAAAATATCATTAGTCTTTGACAGTAAAAACAACAAGTCTCCTGTAACTCTCTTGCACATTGAAGTGCTTTGTTTTGGATATTTCCTGTTAGTCAAGTTGACTGTTTATTATACACTGGGACTTGCATCCCAAAATACATGAGAACATCACATAATTCATTTCCAAGAAAATCTCCTTTCTACCTCATTACATACATATCAAAGCAAAACCTGAAGCAGCTCATTCTGAAGCAAAATTGTTCTCTGCTACCTAGACTTAAATTTAGAGCAGCTCTTACTGCAGGATTCTCTGGTCAGCTAATGCACAGATAATACTATAATGACCAAAGCAAAAACTAAAATTTCTGCTATATGTGTGATATTTAAATTGGTGAGCATGGCAGCTTGCTTTATCTGTCATGAGTCCTGATTACTGATAACAGGTTTCTCAAATGTCGATCTTGTCTGTGAGTCTTAAAGTAATAATGTGTAGTTAGAATTTTCCTGGATTAAAAAAAATATATCCATCTAATCAATATCTAAACAAACAAAATGCACCTTTTTTCTTGCTGCTGACCAAGATCTTCTAAAGACAGTAACGCTATTAAACTAGCTCAGGAAGCTTGCAGAAGAAAGCTGTGCTACAGCCATTTTCCAAGAGATTTTTGCTTAATATTTGCATGTGAGGTTTGGAGCCAGACTTAATAGTTCACTCTTTCACAGAAGTCTGAACTACATGATCTAAGTGGCCTTCCCAGCTTTAAGCTGTAGACTAAAAGAAGGCCATTCAGGCTGGTCACAGAAACAAGGAAGAGCGCTGTCTGCAGACGCATGAAGCTGTAGTAGTATTGATGAACAGCTGGAGACCTTTCTCATCCAAAGCGGTGTGTATAGATGAAGGGTACTAGCGGTAGCTGTGCAGCCATGGAGAAAATCCCGGTTCCATTTATTTAACAACACTGCTCTTACACAGTGCAGTGGAAGGGTCTAGTGCTCTGCAGCTTCTATACAAACACAATTAGGACTAAGTTTTGACAGCTACATAACTAACGCTAACTGAACTTTGGCAGCTACCCTATATAAGGATTTTTTTTTGGCTCCTTTGTAACAGGTAGGTTCTGCTTTCTCTCCTTGTCAACTCCTGTTCCTGAAAGGAGACCATCTCTGGGTTAGCTGCGCTCCCCTCCAGCTGGAAGGCGCTTCCCCAAACGCACCGCGCACTCCTGCGTGACGCGCTGCGGCGAGGCCACTCACGGGGAGGATGCGGCCCTGTGGCAGTGGCGCTGGCCCTGCCAACCTGAGTAAATTGGTTCTCCCCACAGAGCCTCTTCACCTCGCTGCGCTTCCTCCTGCCATGTCGGTTCTTCCTCCCCTGCTGCCCCAGCTCGCCTCAGCGGGGCCTGTAGGCCTTGTGAGAGACAGCTCAGCTGAAGGGAGCTGCGGCGCGGGGTCCTGGAGGCTGTGGGCTGTGTGCGCGGGATGGCAGTGGGGCCCTGCTCGGAGGTGCTGGCACCGTGTGGCTGTTTGGGACACTAGACAAGCGGAAGGGGCCCTCTTGGGTATATGGCGTGCAGTTTGAGGCAGCCTTGACCTGCTTGGGCATGTCAATCTAGTTGGTTTTTAATAATTTTTTTTTCCTAAGGTACCCCTTGCTCTAGCATATGGAGTATTGCTACTAAGCATTGTTAATGCCCCCTTTCCATTGTTAATGGAAATAAACGTGGAAGAGATTTTGCCCAAAGCTTGTAAATCTATAGTGAAGTGCCTTTGAGGCTCCTAAAAGAGTCATTGAGTCTCAGACCTTGAGCCTGATGAGTTTGGACCAAGATAACTGGAGGGAGGTTTTGGCTCTGCGCGCCTCCTGGGAACGGTGTAGCACAACCATGCAGGGCCCTTTTCTGGAAGTTTTAAGATGACATTGCTGCAAGCAGCTCTGTGTGACAGTTTAAGGTATGGAAGGAGGCACGTGCCAGTGTGCCCGTCTGAAAAAGGGGAAGCAGCGAATGCAAAAGATTTGGAGATTTGAAACAGCAGAGGTGACAATATGAGTTGAAAAGTCTGAGAGAAGACTGGTACCTATGGCTGGCGCATTTAAATATCTTACAATGGCTCTGGAAACTCTTCGAGCAGAGTAGAATTTACAGCAGCCTATTGGCCACTCCGAGTCTTTCAACTTGGATGTTGACC